TAATAATATGTGCTATTTCTGAACTCATGATACATAAATATAAAAAATGCTTGATTATACTCATAATTATTCTACATCAATTAAAAAAAATATTGAGTTATACTTAGGGTAGGGGAATGGTGAGATGTCAACTGAAAAGGTTATGGCTTTCCCATTTAGAAACGTGGGTAACGTGGGAAAATAGTTAGGTTGAGATTGCCATCAAGGCATGATAGTTTGGTAACATTGGTCACGAGGGCAAAGTGAAAAGGAAAGGGGAACACCGGAGCAACCTGCTCGACATCTCTAAACCAAGCAAAGCACTTTCAAGATAAGATGTTGACTACTTGCAAAGTTTTCCTGGACCACCGACGATACTGGTATGAATGCATACAGGTTACAAGTTCGTCCAATAAGTCACTATTTTTTTTATTATTAATATAACTATTTAGAATAGATTGGGAGTATTTTAACTAATTTTAAAATTAATAATTATATAAACCTTAAAATTACCTAAAATTTATTAAATTAATATTACTAAAAAAATAAATTCAGAATTAGTATGAATGAGTCGCTATTTTTTTTTTGATTTACGTGAGGTGTTCGGGCCAGCTTACGTGCACCACGACTAATTCCCACAGTCCACTAAACATCTTATAAGTCTAGTGAGCAGATAAGGTACCGTAGAGGTGACAGATATGTACGATAAGCCTCGAATCTAGATGCAGAAAAAAAAAATAAGTCTTTTTCACCGCTGAGTTATAACCTTACTTGCTAGAGCTCGTCATGGTTTCCTTTCATGTCCACTGTAAGTCCAGTGAGCAAATAAGGTACCGCGGGGATGACAGACATACATAGTAAGGCTCGAATCCAAGTACAGAAAAAGAAAATAAACCTCTTTCACCACTGGGTTAGAACCTTACTTGTTATTTTTGGTCGAGCTCGTCATGGTTTCCTTTCATGTCCACTGCCACTTCCCTGTATTTGGAGTGAATTCAAGAAAGGGTAGGAAAGAAAGAGTAGTTTTTATCAATAGGATAAAATAAAAAATGTTTTTGATTTTCGAAATCATTTCCTCTTTATCCATTAAACTATCATTCTTGTAATAAAATTAGTAATATACCAGATGGCCGGTCGAGCTCCACTGTGGATGGAGCAAAACTTTCTTCAACGTGTAGAAAAATATTCAGGTAGCGGGAAACTTTGTCATTGTCCATTAATCTGAAATGGGTTGGTAGGTTAAATTTGAAAAAAAATTATTTAATTTAAATTTAAATTAACTTATATAAAAATTGATTTAATATGATTTTATTAACTTAATAGATAAATAAAAACAAAGAATAAGAAAAAAAAACAAAAACTAAGGATAAAAAACAACATATGCGACAAATGAAAAGCGATTTAGATTTTAAAACTAATATTAAATAATTAAATTAAAAAATCAACAATATTTATTATTAAAAAACCTAATATTAAAAGTAAAAAAAAATATATGTTAAGGGCGCGAATCTAAGTTACTCAATGCACCATGGCTTAAAAGAATTATTTAGTTATTTTTAAAAAAAAATGACAAGTCATTCATTGGAGTGTAAGACATGTCATCTATAGTTACTGAGTCTATAATCCACACTTGCCACTGTAGCAACTTGAAAATCAAAAAATATGGTTTTTAGGTTAAAAAACAATTTTTTCAAAATATTTTCATTTAAATACTCATATTAAACATCATAAAAACTTTTTTAAATCATTTATTAACATTAAAATATTCTAAAATTAGCCAAAAAATCTAAAATCACTCGAACTAAAAGAATTAAAATGGAACTTGATTTTTTTTATACATGTTTGGAGAGAAATTCCACCAATATTGAACTTTCATTGATGAATAGAACCCATTAACAAGAAGTTTAGCTATTTTGATTGCTAGAATGATAACAACCATCAATTCTCTTCTTTTTTTTTTATTTTTTGATGGCTTTCTCTTTTATTTCTTTCACACAAGAATTAGAGAACAATAAAATAAAATTTTGAATTAAATAAAAATTATTATAAATTTAGGGCTAATCATGTATTTTGTTCATATTTTACAGTTACATCTTGTTTCTTTTAATCTAGTAATTGTATCATAATTGCAATACTAATTTCATCTAGCTAGATAATAGAAAGGAAAAATAGTTTGAAAAATGAAAAAAAAAAAGGGCAGGATAAATAGTAAAGCTATGTAAGCTTTCCCAGGCCTCATAGATGTATTAGATAATAGGTAAAGCAACCGCTTGTAGATCCCAGTCCATCCAATGATGTGTGTGGGATGAATTGGTCAATGATTCCAATATTCAATGAGCCTCCGCATTCGCTGCTTTCAACGTTTTGCCTTGTATATTAAATGAACGAATCAGAATTGTTGCCCGGCTGCAGAGGCATCAAGCCTGCGACCGTCGATTTCAAGCATTTATAAAAGAATTATAACATACGGCACCGTTCCAAAATTTAGGGTGCTTAATAACAACAATACGGCTTTTTCTGTGCTTAGTCATGTATTCATTCTATTATATCTATTTTTCATAACAAATAAAGGTAATAACTTGATGTAAAAATTACAGTATTTGCTAAATAATTTTTTATTTTTTCATGAGTCTGGGAATCCTCAAATATTCAAGCTAGTTTCTTTAAGAAGAGAGAGTATAATAAATATTAAAAAAAAAACATTAAGTTACAAGCACAAAGTTATTTGTTCTTGTTTTAATATAAGAATAAGAGTTTAATAAATAATTGATACATATATTTTATAAATAAAAATTATGAATTAATTTATTTTAATGATTCATGATGTATTTATATTTTTTAAATCTTTTTTTCTACTTGAAAAAAATTAGTAAATCATTTTATTATAGTAATATTAATGAAAGATAAATATTTATTATTTATTTATTGATAAGAGATAAATATTTTTTATATAAAAAATATTTTTTATATAAATATTAATTGAGAAACAAATATTTTTAATATATATATATTAATAAGATAAAAATATAATGAGAAAAAAATATTTTTAATATATATATATATATATATATTAATAAGATAAAAATATAATTGACCATGAAAAACTCTTGTAGGAGTGGAAGGGGAGCTTGCACCTTTTGAATTGGGAAGTTGCGTTACATGAAATAAATCAAGGAAGACACAGCTCTTCAATGGGAGGATGCCTAGATTCGCTTGGGCCCAGGTCGCGATGTTTGGGCGTAAGGCTCCCGACACTAGACACGGGAACCTGGGCACTAAACCTGTTTTCGAAGTCCCTAAGGAGTCGGCCCTTTGTAAGAAAAAAATGCGCTTTGGGGTAACAAAAAGTTTAAAATATACTGATAAACTGTGGTTCATAACGCCCGTTGATGCAAAGATGCGAAATTATTTGCCTGGTTATACGGTACTGACAAGCCCAGCCGACCAGATTTATGAAATGACTGATGAATCACACGCTGCCTAATCTTGCTTCGACTTGTCTTCTTCAATCAGTGCTTCTGTCCGTGTCTTTGTCTTACATTTTTCATATCGACTTTCGTCAAGAGTTTGTCTTTTATTTACAAACACGCGATGAAATTAATTTCTCTTTTTTATTCTTTTACTTCACAGGTAATAAATATTTACCAAGCATGAGCTACCTGTTCTGGGAAAAAGAAGAAGGAAGCTTAAGCCTCGTTATCTCCCTTTCAATTTATTTCATGATAAAATGTTGTACTGGATCGCAAAGGAGCCTCCATGATTGCTAAAACCCATGTCTTTTATCTGTTTTTTAAGATAGAATACAAAATCCATGCACCTCAAACTCCTCTTTTGCGATACCAAAATGCCTATCAAATAGTCATGGGCTTCACTAGCCCATCTTAGCCTAGGACTATTAACATGAAGCTGCCTGGGAATACGTTTTTTAAAAATTTAATTTTTTATTTAAATTTTTTTATTTTTTTAATATATTTTTAAATAAAAGATATTTTTAAAAATTAATTATTATCGTACAACACAATTTTCACTCAAGGAAATGAAAGTTATCTTCTCTGTGATTTTTTTCATTTCTGCCTAAAATCTTTCTCTGTAAAATTGTTTTACATGAACATATTTTTCAGAAAAACAAAACATTCGTGGTGATGGGATGTTAGTAGAATAACTATGATAGCGAAGTGATAGTAATGGTGAAAATAACGGTGGTGACAATGACAGTGGAAGATAGGGTGGTGGCTGCAACAATGCAGGTGATTGAGGTGCATGGCGATGAAGATGGAATTCACAGTGGGTTTTGCACATAAATTGCTACGTTTGTGCAAGCAATCACTCAGCAGGACAAATGGTGGCTATAGGCAGATGATGGACAGGCTCACTCTCGCATCACTCAAAGAGATCCAAAGCTGATCGAGTTTGTAACAGAAATCGTGACCTGACATCAAAGGACCAGCTGTTTCTACATGTTCCAACCATTCTACTGTTCATCACAAGAAAAAGAGAGCAAGAAAAATTTAGCATACTTTTTGCGCATCTTGGGTATAGCATTAAATTTGAGATGATGTTTATGGGGTCAAGGTGTTTTCTGGGATTACAATGGGTTGTCCTCAGGTTAGAAGGACACAAATGACTAGCTTTCTAGTTTCAAAAACTAATTAAAAAAAACTGAGAAAAGAACGTAAATAGAACAAAAAAGATTAAATAATTAGTTCTTGAAACAAGCGAGACTAATTGATTTATTTCTCTATACTCAAATAATTGCTTCATCTAATATAGACAAGCATTGACAATTTTATAAGAGATTCTAAACGACATGCCTTGAAATCATTGAATTTGATTTTGTATAAGTTTTTAGAGAGCTTGATGTGCAGATTAATTTGCAGGAGCCACTGCAGCAGCTGGCTAGGAAGAATACCCACTTTTCTTCAAGGCAGACTCGGTGCAAAGGGTCTCAAAAGGAGGACGCCCATAGGCTAAAGATGCCTGGAACAAGGGATAGACAAGAAAAACTGCACCGCCAACTTCAATTTGTTCAAGAACAGGGTAGCATTATAGGGTTCCAAATCCAAAACGCCTTTTAACTACAGCAAGATCCATTTTTGTTCAGGTACAAAATGGCATTATACGGTTCCAGAAGATTTTATACAGCTAACTTTGTAGACATATGGATATATGTTACATCATATTATCAAAGCTCATATAGATACATACAAAATCCTTAACAACCAAAATGTCATATCTAGATCCTAAAAATGATAATAACTTATCTTGCCGTTACCTGAGGGTCTGACAGTACGTCTTCTGAGATGTCAAAAAACAGATCATCAGTCTTACACAAGGCATAAACAATATCCACCATGCTGGGCCTCTTTGATGGATCTCTATGCAAGCAAGCAATTGCAACAGCCATTGCATTCATTACACTCTCCATTGAGCATGACTGCTCTAAAAGAACCTTATCCATCCATAGTGTCAATCTCTTCACCTTCCTCTCTTCAACATTTCCCTGCAAAATTCCACTAGCTTCTGACCACAAAACCTTGCCTTCTTCGTCAATAGCTTCTTTGCCTGAGATTAGCTCAAGCAAAACCACACCAAATGAGAAAACATCCATTCTTGTTGACACCACACCGTCAGCTAAATATTCAGGTGCAATGTAGCCTTGGGTGCCGACAATGTGCATTGTTATGGCATTGTAGCCTGATTTTGCTAGTCCAAAGTTGGCAATTTTGGCTCTCATGCTCGAGTCTAAAAGGATGTTGCTGCTTCTAATGTCTTTGTGTACAACCCTTGGCCTAGTGTGCTCATGGATGTATTGGAGACCATTTGCAACGTCAATTGCAATGCGTAGCCTTTTTTTCCAGCTTAGTTTTTCTTTCTTGTTACCATGCAACCACGAATGCAGAGAGCCATTGTCGATGTACTCGTAGACCAGATAGCAATTTGCATCCTCAGGGTCTATGCAAAAGCCTTCTAGCTTCACCAAGTTGCCATGGTTTACCTTCAAACAAAGGAAACTGTGAGTTTTTTTTCACGTAGCAATATGAAAATGTATTTTCACAGGAAGAGAAAAGATCCCATGAATTACAAAAATAAATAAACCTTAAATTGGTAGATACTTGGCAATTATATCACTGCGCTATATTGGCTAAAGCATTTCATACTAGATCTCTCTGAAATAAACTACACCTAATGCTTATCATCCTTCCTCATCATTTCAAGCTTGAACACGGTCAGGATTGTTGCGTTCAACCAATCAACCTCTTTTTAATTATTGGCAAGGAATTGTGCATGGCCTTGAGATGGGGCCAATCCAATATCCAAGTTCTTGCTCTGGGGAAATTAACAGTACGGAGCTGTTTAAGTTAATGAAAAGTTGTTTGTTTGCAGTTATTTTTAATTTTTTTCTAAAAAATATATTAAAATAATAAATATATTTTTTAACTTTTAAAATTAATTTTTTATATCTAAACATCAAAACAATATTAAAAAGTTAATTTAAAACAAAAAAATAATTTTAATAAAAAATAGATTGAAACTCGATATTAAAAACTCTATGCAAACAGCGAAGGCCAAACCAATCTATCCAACCAATGGAGCTAAAAAAAAGCGATGGCAATGGGATTATTCGTTTATATATATATTAGCATTTAATTTCAAATATTTGCAGTTAGGTACATTAATTTATCTGCAGAATTAGTCAGGATATATCTATAAATATAAAGAGAAGGTTGACATTTCAGTATGTAGTAATTATGGCTTGAAATGTCTATTTTCTGACAATATCATTGGCTTCATTTTATGGGGGAATCGACAGGGTTTATTAATTTTGTTTCAAGGAGGAGGAAAAGAAGGCATTTGCTTATTGCACGAATCCACAACAGCACACCCCAAGGAAATGGACAGCCTAAACTCATTTACGAGGATAAATAGCTAAATTGTTATTATATAATTTGATAAATCTCTAATATATCCTTATATTTTTAATTATATTTATTATATCCTTTTATAGTATTAAATACAAACGTCACCTCACCTAACCAATATAAAATTAGATAGTTGCTAAATTTGATGAAAGTCATACACCGGTGTCTTTATTTTATTTGGATGTTTCGATTTTTAATCCCACATTTTTCTATATTTCTCATAACAGCCCCTGCATTTAGGTTTACGCAACAATTTCCTATTGCACAACATATCCATGGCTACAAAACTCAAACAGATGAGATCATGGACATCATCATCATCTATGTTGCTACTTGGGAGTTGAGGTCAAGACCAGAAGTTTATCATGCTGGGGAAGGGCCAGAACTCTGCTCTGCTGGAACTTGAATCGCTAGCATGAATTGCTAACTTGTGAAATATAAATTCTAACTCATCTTTAATTGTGCTATAAAGGCTGAATCCTTGTGAACTGTAATAGTATGGAAACAACCGAGGTTCATGCAACTGGGTCCCTGATCCTACTATTTCATTGGAAACCAAACAAACAGTGAAGGCTGGAGTATATACAGTAATTAGTGAAAAAGATCTTACCTTCTGCAGTATCTTGAGCTCCTCACTGGCATTCCACTTCATCTTCTTGATAGCATAGGTCTCTCCATTTATGGACCCTTTAAACACAGATCCTTCAATCAAGCAATTCTCACCGAACCCATCAGTAGCTTCTTTCAGTTCATCAATCTTAAAGACCCTGTACTTATCCAAGCAATCTGAAACATCTGCCATCAAACCCACTTCTATATCCTTCAACCCTTTCCTTCCTCCATTGAACTGCATCCTCTGCTTCTCCTGATCATCTCTCTCAAAATCTCTTCTCTTCTTCAATACACCGTCTCTATAAAAACAAACCCCGCTTACCAAGACCAACAAAAGCCCGGCAATTCCTAGTCCAACTGCTAATCCTATGATCAAACCTTTCCTCTGATTCTTCCCAGAAGGCGCCAAAGAAGGAAAAACCGTAGCTTGTGCCAGTTGTGGAAGTTGATTTACTGGTATGAATATGGTGTCAAATGGCTGTATGTTATTGCCATTAGCATCCACAATAGATTGTGTTTCGACTCCAAATGTTGAAGCAACTGATGATAAGTTATCAGAAGGCTGAAACACATAAGATACCAGATAATTCACCTTGTTTTGCAATTGAGTTTGATTAGGACACTTGCAAAATATTGGAAAGATCACTTCTACTCCTATTTGGAGTCGTGTGGGGATAAGCGTAGGGTTAACAAGTTGAACAGACTCGTAGGTAGTAAGGTTTCCGAAGTATTCAGTTGAGACAAGGTAGAAAGTGTCATTTGGCTTTATGGTATATGTGATGTTTGCAAAGGAGATGCTAGTGCCATTCATGGTGTTACAAGAACATGATAAAGGGACAAACAAGGGTTGATCGGGGATGAGAGGGGAGGCTGGAGAGGAGATGTTACTTGGTTTTGATATCATAAGGCGGCTAACCGAGAAAAGGTCACCGATTGAGGAAAGGTCAAGGAAGTTAGGAGCTGTAGCCCGGTAGAAGGCATAGGTTTGGCATGGAAAGGAACTCTGATTGGCTGTGCAGGTGAATCCTTGGGTGCTTGGTTGGGCTTGCAAATGGTGGGGGATAGTACTGTAATAGATAAAAAAGAGGAGAGAAGAGACTAGATGGGATTTGGCTGTCATTTTTGGTTTGGTTGTTCTGCCTTTCTGCCTTGAAATGTTTTGTATTAAAGAAGACGGAGATTTGTATATTCCGTAGTTTCAAGAGATAAGTGGAAGTGCAAACTCCTTGTCAAAATTGTAGTCAAGATTTTAGGACAGTGAAATGGGTCCAACTGCCTGGTGGATCCCACCTTCAAGGATTTTAGGTAAGCTTCATTGGATGGACACGGGCACCAAGCTCAAGGGTATGTATCCACCAGTTTTGTCTTATTTTCCAACTAGTTTCGAATCGAAAGAAGAAATTGAGCGCATAGAGAGCTTGATTCGAGCTTTCAATTCATAAGAGAAGAAAGATAAGATAAGAGCCTGGTTTAGGACAAACTCTAAAACATCCAGACCCCCTATGCAAACTGCAAAGTTACATGTATATAGCTTAAGATGGCCGAATTGTATGACCTTGAAGTCGGGGAAACGTTCAAGCTGAGGGAATCATACAGCATGCATTTGGAAAAGTAAAACAAGATCAAGTCTAGTTGAAATTTGGAAACTAAATCATTTGTAAAATTCATAAAGATAGTTACAGTGGTTTAACCATTTCACGCAACCGGATTTTCAAACTACTTAATGTTCAAAAACTTGAAATAGATGGGAATCTGAGCTGACAACAAAAGATAGCGTTTCAAGACCGGTTTTAAGTTCTGGACTTCAGCTGGGAATAATGTGGAAGGCATTCCAGTGAGTGATAAATAAGCGAAGCAGAACTCAAAAGATAAGACTACACTCAAACACATCCATTTCTAGCAGGGTACAAAATGTAAGATTTGAGAAGATTCTACTGCAAGCAGCTAACAGTAATTGCAAATAACAGCAGAGATTTCTGCTCTAAAGAATCTACACATCCTCAGCTGAAATAGCTGCTCTTTGTTCCTCAAAGACACTTTGTCCAGGGCTAAGTTTTGGTATTTTGCTGAGAATACTAGCAAGCTAACAAAATTCAAAATAAAAACTACAGCCGTCGCTCCAACTTCAGCTCTTAGTTTTGTGGCATCACAAAGTGCCGTCTTGTCGTCATTTTCAATAGAACACTTCCCTGGGTAACTTTAATGCTGCCCTACCAAGGATGACTAAAAGAACACAACGAATCTTGATGATTAAAAAAATGAGAAATCATGATTATAATTAACGATAGCATAAAAATTCCTAGTTAACTGCCTTCTGGAGAAAATGGTGGTGGAATTTGACTCTTGAAACGTCAAAGCCACTTTTTATGACTGCCTACCCCTTAAGAACTCTAGCGTGTACCCGTGGTTACACACGTAAACTGATCTTCCATACAAAAGCATTAACATGAAGCCAATTTACAGCATGCTTCTTCTTGGTTACACTTCAGTGAATCTCAACTTATTTAGGACTAAATTCAACCAACCAGTGGTAGAAAAATAAACGTCTGAATTCTGAAAAACCGACTTCTCTTCCATCAACACACTCGCAACAAAAAAAGAAAGAAAGAAATCCAACACAAAAAATATGGGCATTTGCTCTGTGTGAGTTCATGTGAAAAGTTAACATCATGTTTCCAAAACATCCTTACTTCATTCACGGCTTAAGCAACGTCATAGGGCATCTACAGACGAAGAAAAGGTGGAATAAAATTGGGAAAAATAAACTAAATCTTTCAACAATGTCACTTACTTACAGAACGAATACAATAGCATTCTTGTTGCCAAGGTAAAATTATCTCTTGGTTATGTCTTCCCTTGTTATGGTGAAATCCCAGAGGTCTCCGTATTTCTCATTGAAGTCCCATATGCTCATGGTATTATAGTCATCTATTAACTTGTCACGAGCTCCTCTCTCCATATTGTATATTTGGGGCTCGAAGTTGTGTGGCTTGTCGGGTTTATCCATCTCAATCACACAGAAAATAAACACAAATATACCTGCTCCAATGAACAGATACTCCCCCTGAAAGATAAGATCAAAGATTAATTAACTGTGTCAATCATAGAATTGAGGTCATGTTCCTAATTTTTCTTCCTGAAGAAGCCTGTCAACAGTAGGTTTAATAATCAAATCTTGTATGGAAGCTGAGTCTGAATTAGATTTTACCGGCACATTGAAATACATCCCAGCAGCAACTGCTGGAAGGAAGATCCATGAAATAAACCCTGCAAGCCATTAATGGTGAAATATCAAGCCCAAAAATATCACCTGTCAATTCTAATCTACAGGACCATGTAATCCAAAATTTTGTGGCATATATTATACCTTGAAAACCTGTTGGGGGCTCTGTTGAGGTATATTCTTCTTTAAGTATTTCCCAGTATGTTCCTGAATAAACATCCCATTAAGAATTAGGTATTGCTTATATTTTTAATACATTAAAAAACGTAATCTTGCTTTTGTTATTGAAGACCAGACACGTAACATCCCTAATTAATTAATTCGACTGATTCAAAACCCTTAGTAAATCTTGGCAAAAATCTCATACAAACAAAAACGTACTTTTTTCTTGGCCTTCAAAGTAAGTATGATGCCCATCCCACTCTCCATACTTAAAATCTTCCTGAAAAAATTATAAGAACCAGCTGTGTTAGCAAGACCAAACATACAGACACAAGCTAAATACACATACGCTTAACATAGAAGATAAAACGACGCGTACAGCATCAACACCAGGAGTGGCCCAACGGTCTCTAGGATCTTCATTGAGGTCAGGCTCAATCTCAGACAGCCCAGCTGCATTCAATCTGGTTCTTGAACCATATTTAGTTCCCAATTTCTTGATGGTTCTCTGGTTAAAAGCACTAACCATGTTTCCAATTTGGTTATTACAGCTGATTTTAGGGACCGGATTTGCCAACAGAATTGAGAGTGATGAACTCGCTGCCATTTTTATTTTTTTGCCCTCCCTTATCCGCTTCTATGAGTTGAGCTTGAGCCTTTGAATTAAATGCCCGCCTTTCATTTTTATCTCGTTATTTCTGTTAAGAAAAATGATTGAGTTACTCTGCTTCGTAGGAGTTTGCGTGTACAACCTTGGATTCTTTGCAACACGTGTTCATTGTGTTGACGTGGCAGTTTATTATTGCGAATCGCGATAATCAAGCTTTGCTCAGGGACAGATTGTTTTTTTGGCGGAAAAAAAATAAAATTAATTATTTTTGGATGTTGTTATATTATTTTAAAATGTTAATTTTAAAAATAAATTTTAAAAAATTTAAATATTATTATTTTAAATTATTTATAAATAAAAAACACTTTAAAAAATAATTATATCCCAATATCAAATATGCTCCAAATCTAATTTATTTTTACAAGCTTGATTAAAGGTATTTTTACTCAAATAAAAATTAACATACGTTTTAGATATTAATCAATGTTAATTGTGAGGGTTTTTTCTAATTTAATATGTATTATGCAGTATTTAACACCATGTGTGTATTTTATGTTTAAGTTTAAATATATCCCATGAATAAGTTTAATTTTGATAAATTGAAAAACCAATCAATTAATTATTTACTTAACAAAAAAACATCCAATTACAAGAGTCAATAATTGGAAGAAGGTGATGACGACCTTGAAAGGCTCCTTTGTCAATAAATATCAGAAGGATGGTTGGTGGGTGTTTAATTTTATTTAATAGGTCTAAAAAATCACAAAATAACCATTGACTATCTAACGAGAAAACAATTATTTAGAAAATAATAAATAATGGAAAAGTAAAAGAATAGGAAAGGAAAGGACGGGAGGAAGGTGAGCCACGGAGCGCGTCAGGCCTACGCAAATGGTCTTGGGATGGATGCACACGACCAATCCATAAAAATACTGTGGATCCCATTCGACGAGGCGTCGTTGCTGAGCTGTTTGAGAGTACGATTATATTTTATTTTTTAGAATATTTTTTTATTTTGAAATATATTAAAATAATATTTTTTTTTATTTTTTAAACATTATTTTTAAAATTGACATATTAAAAAAATTCAAAAAAAATAATTTTTAATAAAAAATTTAAATTTTTTAAAAATACAGTTTAGATGGCATTACTAAAATAATTAGTAAAATACACTGATTTTACTCTTCCAATCTTAATTTCTATACATTTTTTTAACCTCCAAACATCTTCGAATTGTCTCAAAGGACGTTTAATAATTAATTTTAAACCTCAAAATATATTTTAATCCAACCTAGAAACTCAAAAAATCTATGCTCTCCTTGGGATCCTATTTTAACACATTAAAGTTTAAACCATTTCGCATAAAATTAAGGACCAAAATGAATTCATATTTATGAAATAAATAAACATCAATGGCTAAAATGAACTCATGTTTTTTTAAAAATCACTTATTTTTTCTGGGAAAACAACACCGTTTTGTGTCAAGATATAGGATTAAGTTATATGTTTCCTAGCTTCAATACATGTGTAATTTAATCTTAATTATGAGAATGGTAATGGGTCGGGTATGAAATGAATACCCGCTCTACTTGGTCCTGTCTAATAGGTATTAAGGATATATATATGGGTTCCAGGTATGGGTATCCATTTTATACCTTATTAATGTCCATTCATTTATTTAACTGACATGGAGGAACTTGATTGCACAAAATCTTTTAAGCAAGGACTAAAATGTTTTTATGAAAACCTTGAACATAACAAATTCCAGAATAAGGGACTATTTATTGATAAATAAAATTAAGGACCAAATTTACTTTATTTAAATTTATAAATACTAAAATTAAACTTTTTGAAAAGTTGTTTGCTAGTGGTCCAAGTGGATATCAAACAATATCACATGGGTGGATATGAGGCCAAGTATGAATCTAGAGGGTACCTAGATTGGTGATCCAGTACCAAAATTTTTAAACTTGATAAATAATATTCAATAAATGGTCGTGTTTTTTTAAAAGTGAAAAAATAATATTAATCAGGTTAAAATATTGACTAATTTAATAATTTTTTTAAAAAATACTAATAATAACAACAATAATAAATAAATTAAAAAAATATTATCCTAGTCAAAGCTAGCTAAATATGCAAAACTCATAATTTGATATATAAAATTATGATAATTTTATAAAAAAATTATACCAACAAAAATTATATATAAAAATTTTTTTAAAAAAATACTAATAATAACAACAACAATAAATAAATTAAAAAAATATTGTCTTAGTCAAAGTTAGCTAAATACGCAAAACTCATAATTTGATATATGAAATTGTGATAATTTTATAAAAAAATTATACCAACAAAAATTATATATAAAAAATAGTTTAGAAAAAGAAATATTTAAGCCTAACCAACTTAATCTTTTAAATTCATAACCTAAAAATATTAACAAAATCCTAATCAATAAATATCGAGAGTTGAAATCGATAAAAAGAATTTTAATAAAAAAATTAAAATAAAAAAAATAAAAAATAATGATTAAATTTAACATAAAATAAAATATTAATGAATATAATTAAAAAATAATATAAAATATGAAGAGATATAATTAAAAATATGTTTTAATTAAAAAAAAAGAATACTAATTTTAAAAAGTGAAAAAAACCAAACAAGGATCTAAATATTGAGAACTGAAATCGATAAAAAGAATTTCAATAAAAAAATTAAAAATAAAATAAAAAAATAAAAAATAATGATTAAATTTAACGTAAAATAAAATATTGATGAATATAATTAAAAAATAATATAAAATATCAAGAGATATAATTAAAAATAAAATAAAAAAAGAATACTAAATTTAAAAAGTGAAAAAAACCAAACAAGGATTCAACCGTAAGAAAATTAAAAAACCACGGGAGAACCTGCTTTGCGGCCTTTGTCGGATTAAGGTATTTTATGAAAAATACTAAACTACCCCTGGTCAAACTTTATAATTATAGACAAATCAAAATTGAAAGGTACAAACATTTTTGGTCCAAGGTCATTGTATTTTACCGTGCATCTAAAATGAAAATGCTGAAAGCGCCCCTGCCCCCTCAAAGTTTATTTATTTATTTATTTTTATTTTTTTCCCTTCAAAGGCATATCAATAATTTCACCATGCAAATAACTACTATACCCCCGCTTTCAATACGAATTACGTTATGTGGGCAGAATCACCTTTTCACTGTTATCCTACGTGCACAGTAATAAATGTACAGTGAAAGTTGGGGCCTTTTAGTTTCTTTTAATTTATTAATGAAAATGGGCCGGGCAAGTTTTTAATGGATCGGGCAAGGGTTTGAATTAAGGGGCCGAGTGCCGGCCCATTTCCATCCCTACTAGTTCAAAACCCTGTTCTGGAGCAGTTAGAAATACTGGCGATATCGAATCGCTAAATGAATACTGAAAGAAGGTAAGAAATTAGAAGGTCAGTTAATGAAAATGGGCCGGACAAGTTTTTAATGGATCGGGCAAGGGTTTAACTTAAGGGGCCGAGTGACGGCCCATTTCCATCCCTACGTAGTTCATAACCCTGTTCTGGAGCAGTTAGAAATAGTGGCGATATCGAATCGCTAAATGAATACACTTAACGTGATTTTCGGGTTTTGGAGGCATGGCAAGACTGAAAGAAGGTAAGAAATTAGAAGGTCAAGCTCAAATAATCTAAACGATGCAAACGCAACTGCAATCCTATGGTGCCAATACACTTGAGAGGTGTAGTTATCCTAAAGCAAGGAACAATTTGATGATGATCTTAGCTAAAAATGTCCAATTTCCCACTGCAAGGAAACTATGAACTATTCAGCTGGTTTTGCACACCAATGCCAACGACTGTTTGGTTCATCGGAAAAGATCTTTTTCTCATCGTTCAATGCGTGTTGCTTGGGTTCAACTCTTACCATAAGCATGGATTGACAGCAAAACTCTACTCTTCTTCTCCACATGTGCTCTTCTTTATGTACTGTGGGTGATTGGGTCTTCAGATAAATTACAGCAGTGAGCCATGTCTTTGCTTGATGGGCTACCCAGACCCAAACGAATTCCAGAGAGTGGAATGGGCCACTTGTAAAAGCGTCGAGCATCAGCACCAGACCAGAGACCCGACTACAACTTCAAAATCTTACCCTTCCCTTCTCTGTCAGAGAAATTCCGATTTTGTAAAGATAAAATCCTGCTAAGGCACTACGCTGAATCCCGCCAACACCCCCACCGTATTGCTGACTACTAATTTTTCTTGCTCTGTAAAATTTCATAGAATTTAGTGCTTATCTTTTGTCAAAAAGAAACAATGTTTGTAAAACTGCAATTAGATGCCCGTTGTTTTAACATATTGAGCTCCCCCAGGACCTCACCCATCACAGGAGCTTCAGTCTCCACAAACACAGGAGTATCACTTTCTCCACTAGAAAAGATTGAAACTGTCAAGAAACGCAGAGAGCAAAGCCTTCTTGAAATCCCCAATAGACGAATTCCCAAGAAGGTCAACACAGATCACAAACAGATTCCTAAGAAACCTAGCTTCAATAAAAACCCAGATAGAGAACCGAGAAATAACTCAAGGAATAGTACTCGAGTTGAAAATAAGAAGAGTTTTGGGGTTGGTTTGGAGAGGCTCGATGGTAATGGCTCGGTTGATAGAGCGCACACCAAATGTTCGAAGAAATGGGCATATTATGGAGGTTGTATTCCATCAATTTTGGAAGCTCTTGATACGATTAAAGACCTTGATGAGGCATTGAAGCCATGGGAGGATACTCTTAGTAACAAAGAGAGGAGCATAATTTTGAAGGAGCAGTCTAGTTGGGAGAGAGCTTTGGAGATTTTTGAGTGGTTTAAGAGAAAGGGTTGCTATGAGTTGAATGTGATTCGCTACAATATTATGCTCAGGATTCGTGGGCGAGCGCGAAATACCATGATCCACATTTGTGGTAACCATGGCCAGCTTGAAGAAGCGGGTTCACTTATGCAGAAGATGGAGGAGCTACGATGCCCACCAGACACAAGGACGTATAATATTCTCATCTCCCTTCATGCTAAGCATGATAATATAAGCATGGCAGCTAGCTACTTTAAAAGGATGAAGGAGGCTGGATTAGTGCCAGATCATGTGAGTTACCGCACACTCTTGTATGCCTTCTCAATAAGGCATATGGTCAGTGATGCAGAAGACCTGGTGTCTGAGATGGATGAAAAGGGTCTGGAGATTGATGAGTATACCCAGTCTGCTCTGACTAGAATGTACATAGAAGCTGGGATGCATGAGAAATCATGGCTTTGGTTCAGGAGATTTCATCTCACAGGGAATATGAGTTCTGAGTGCTATTCTGCCAGCATTGATGCATATGGGGAGCGCGGCCATATTTTGGAAGCTGAGAAAGTTTTCATGAGCTGCCAAGAGGGGAAGATGCTGACTGTCCTCGTGTTTAATGTGATGATTAAAGCATATGGGTTAGCGCAAAAATATGACAAAGCATGTCAGTTGTTTGACAGCATGGAGAGTCATAGTGTACTTCCAGATAGATGTAGCTATAGTTCTATCATACAAATTTTGGCTGGTGCTGACTTGCCAGACAAAGCGAGAGATTATCTGAAGAAGATGCAAGAGGCAGGATTGGTTAGTGATTGCATCTCCTATTGTGCTGTGATCTCAAGCTTTGTGAAATTAGGTAAACTGGAAATGGCTGAGAGGCTTTATAACGAGATGATAGGTTTTGATGTGAAGCCAGATGTCATAGTTTATGGTGTACTGATAAACGCGTTTGCTGATGCTGGAAGTGTTAAAGAAGCTCTTGGTTATGTAGATGCAATGAAAAGAGCTGGTTTGCCTGGCAATACAGTCATATACAACTCCTTAATCAAGCTTTATACCAAAGTCGGGTACTTGAAAGAAGCAGAAGAAACATACCAGCTGCTTCAGTCGTCAGATTCTGGTCCTGATGCATATTCTTCAAACTGTATGATAGATCTCTACAGCGAACAATCCATGGTCAAGCAAGCAGAAAAGATTTTTGAGAGCTTGAAGAGAAAAGGGAACACAAATGAGTTTACTTTTGCAATGATGTTGTGCATGTACAAAAGACTTGGGAGGTTCGAGGAAGCCACTCAGATTGCAAAACAGATGAGAGACTTGGGACTTTTGACTGACTTGTTAAGCTATAATAATGTGCTTGGGTTGTATGCATTGGATGGCAGATTCAAAGAGGCTGTGGGAACTTTCAAGGAAATGGTAGAAGCTTCCGTTCATCCCGATGATTGTACATTCAAATCTCTTGGAATTGTTCTGGTAAAATGTGGAATATCGAAGAAAGCTGTTACCAAGCTTGAAGCAACTACGAAAAATGATTATCAGAAAGGATTGCAGGCATGGATGTTAGCTCTCTCCACTGTAGCTGAGATAGATGATGATTATGACGAGTAAATTTAAGTTGTAGTTTATGGGCTGTATTCCTTCTCTCTTCCGTCTAATGTAGTGGAAGTTGCATATTGTTGTCACGTGTAATGGACAAGATCAACAAAAGTGTAAAGTGTATAAAACCTGTAGTTTCTGTATTTTTACTGTGTTGATAAAATATGTCAAATGTTCAAAAAAGTGTGATTCAATTAGAGTTCGATGACGTCTCAATGGGGTTTCCATCTGTAGTCATTTTGGCTGGGAAACAGAGGAATGGAATTTCTGCAAGTCAGTGCCTGTGACCGCATCAGGTTTCTAATTCAATGGATCCTTCATCTTTCAGAGATGTGGTAAAGAAATAGAATTATCACATCAGCTGCATTAGTTTACTGCGTCCGAAATTTATTAATACCTTAAATATCATTTTTCAAATCATTCATCTGGTTGGTGCCTTTGACCTCATCTGTCAGTGTCTGTGCAGCGTATGTGAGTTAAGCTACGTGCGGCATGCGTGAGAGTTGACTCCATTTACGTTTATTAAGCTATTGAATTCTAGAACTCGGGAGGGTTTCAGCCTTTCAGGTATATCTGTTGTCTTCAGTGTAATTACTACAGTTGAAATTGATCGAGTAAGATCAATGAACCACAAGTGGTAACCTTACCAAAAATATTGAAAAATGCATTCTGAACATTATTCGTGACATCAAACAATGAAAATTCTTTTTCACAAACATGACAACCATTGTTTTAAGACAAAAAACAAAAGCGTTACTCAAATTTTGGGTTCTGTTGCCTTCAATTAGGGAATGTTACTGTATAATGGCAGGCAGTATTATTTTTATCAGGCAATCGCGTCTTTTCCGTGGGTGTTTGTTGTAAAACTTGCGTGTTTCCATTTGTGGACACACAGCACAGTCTGTTTCAGTTTCAGAAACAAACAATGTTAACAACATCCCTGTATGCATTTCTAGCTTGTTTGTTCATTGATAAACATCTGTACCTCTCTCTGTCTAGAGCTCTTCTCTGTTCATTTCAATTTTCTTTCCGTTTCAGAAGAGATTCTATAAAGAATACGGGCAAGTTCTTGGCTGCGTTCAAGTCGATCAGTATACTGTTGTCGTCAAGGAAATCTTTCGAAAAGATAATGATGTCTGGAACCTGGATGGCACTTTCTGCCTTGGTGTTTTGGTTGTCAGCTAGCCGATCGCCTCTCTTTACTTGTGAAACGACTGGATGTTCATTGTGAAACCAAAACTAAGGACAATGATTTTCTCACAGTGGTTACTTCTGTTCAATACCGAGCCCTCGCAGAAAAGGCTGCTGATACTTTTTATAAGTTCAGCAACACAAAGGAACAAATTCAAGCAATATGTATTTGATGTTATATGGGCAAGTGTTCCAAAGTTGGACCTGTTTTCAGCCTTTGAACAAAATAATGAGATAGCAAAATCTGTGAAAGACGAGCTGGAGAGGGCCATGTCACGTTATGGATATGAGCCAGATGAAAATGTGAAGAAGGAAATGAATGAGATTAACGCACCTGCTAGAATGAGGGTGTCTGTTAATGAAAAAGCTGAGGCTAAGAATTAAGAGTGCTGAAGGTGATGCAGAATCAAAATATCTTTCTGGTCTTGGTGTAGCCAGCAGCGCCAGGCCATTGTTGGTGGGCTCAGAGATAGTGTGCTTTCATTCTCTGGTAATGTAGCTGGGACTCATTCAAAGGATGTGATGGATACGATTTTATTGATCCAATATTTTGACACAATGAATGCAGTGGTTGTGTATCAATCTGAATATATTTCAATTTTGTTGGCATTACCTTGTGAGAATGAGTCTTAAGACTAAACTATATATTTGAAAAAAAATTTCCAAGCACTAGATTCATTGTGAGATTCGCTTTTCTTTCTGACCTTAAATTTAAGGAAGTAAAGGCAGCGATTTGAAGCCGGGGGCCAAAAGTGCCACTCAGATGAGCTTAACAATGACTGGGTGAGTAGGGCACTTAAAATTTAGCAATTGTTATTTTAGGTCGAGCTCTGTTAGGACTTAGGACTTTGCACTTTGGGTTTTTATGTGGTAAACCAAGTTTACGTTCAGTTCGTTGTGAAATGTAACTGTTATCAATAAGGGGTGTGCTTATATCCAAGAGGCGTGATCTCAATAAGGCATATGGTAAGTGATGCATAAGATCTGGTGTCGGAAATGGATAAGAAGACTTTGGAGTTCGATGAGCATGCCCGGTCAGCTCTGGCTAGAATGTCCATTGAACCTGCAATGTTTGAGAATTCATGGCTATGGTTCAGGTCTTCAGGAGATTTCATCTCCGAGGGATATGAGTTCAGAGTTCTATTCTGTCTACCTTGATGCTTATGGGGAGTGTTGAATGTTTTTGAATCTGATCTGCCGTGAGAGGAAGACGCTGAGTATCCTCCGGTTAAATATGGTGATTAAGTCTCAAGGGTTGGGGCACAATCTCTGTCGTTTGACAGCATGGAGAATCAAGGAGTTGTTCCAGACAAATCAGCTCGAGTCCAATCATCCAGAGCTTGATTCGACTGGTGCTGATTTGCCACCCATAGCCAAACATTTTCTGAAGATGCGAGAGGCACGACTGGTTAGTGATGGCGTCCCATATTGTGCTGTGGTCTCAAGCTTTGTGAAACGAGGTAAATTAGATTGGAGAATAAGAGCTGGTTTGCCTGGAAATAGAATCGTACATAGCACCTCGATCAAGCCCTCTATCAGAGTTTGCTGCTTTGAAAGAAACAAAAAGAAGACAAGCAAACTGCTTCCGTCTTCGGCTGCTGGTCCTGATGCGTATCTCTTCAAATTGTGCGATAGATCGCTGCAGCAAACTATCGGTGGTCAAAACAAGCGCAATATATATATATATATTTTAAAACTTGAAAAGAAAAGGGACGTAAATGAGTTTACTTCTGCAACCATGTTGTTCCTGTGTAGAAGACTTGAGAGGGCCGAGGTCCGAGGAAGCCATTCAAATTGCAAAACACGTGAAAGAATTGGGACCTCTTACTTCTTGAGCTTTAGTAGTGTGCCTGGGTTGTATGCATGGGATTGGATAGAAGATTCAAAATGGCAGCGGGGACTTTCAAGGAAATGGCAGAAGCAGCCTTTCAACCAATGATTGTAAATTCAAATTACTAAATTGTTTAAATAAAATGTGGAACATCAAAGAAGCCTGCTGACAAGTGGGAAGCAGCAACGGAGAAGGATCATGCGAGTGGTTTACAGGCTTGGATGAAAGTTCTCTCTACTTTAGCCGAGGTAGATGATAATTAATAATAGTTAACATCTCATCAAAATTTCGGTGGAAAAATTAAGCTGCGGTCACAGGTTGCACCCTCGCTTTCTTCAAGCAAGAAAGATGACAAAAAAAAATAAAAAAAAATTATTAGTTTTTCGGAACACAGGTGATTTTTTTTCCCTTGTTTTTTAGAAGGTGTCACATTCAATGAGCGGGAGTCCCATGACTTGCAGGGATTTCATCGGTGTTTGTTTTTTCTCGCCAGTGACCTTACCTGGCATTTAATTCGATTGATGACTGTCTAATCAACAATCAATGGTATTAGCAGTAAGAAGTTTCAGGGTTCATGATGCGCACTTGGAATCTGAGAAGCTGTTTCCTGCTACAGAAATCTCGAGTCTCATAGAACTGACAGTTGACAATGCTATGCCAACTGAAAGGCAAATCAACTGAAATGGAAGATGACGCCATGCCACCAATAATGAAATAGCAGGCACCATCGATACAGTTCCTCATACAAAAAAATATCTTGCATATTGTCAAGCGCTGGTTTTGTGCCATGCCAAATCAAAGAACACAGGTACACATTAGAGAATCGAAAGGCAAACAAAGAGAATTAAACCCAACTTAATTGAGATCATCACATTTACAAGTTAACTAGCTTAAGCCAGGAAATTAAGATCACAAACCAAGCTAACACACAAGTAAATAGTGAATTATTCTACAACTGAAAAAAAAAAAAATTCATGTACAAAGATCAGCTAATGTTTTCCATTCCCAGATAGAGCAATAATAACCATATAAGCCTCCACCGAGAACAAGTAATTAGCAGGCACAATTGATGAACATGCTCGAATCTCCTCAAATCCCATTGATGAACAACATGAACCTCTCTTCACATAGCATCATCATTCCATTGAAGCACAACATCTCCGAGCCCTTCTTTCAGTTCTCCCCAATGAAGGTCCTCAAATTCCACCCCACCACCCTCCACCACCTTAACTTCCACCACCAACAGCTTCTCCACTATTTCCCACACCTCAAACACCAATCCCACCCTCCCTTTCCCCAACCGTATAGCACCCCCACCTTTTCCTTCCTCCACTCTATATCCCAATCTCCCTCCAACATTTCTCACTCTCTCCGTTACTCTTTCCACCGTTTCGCTTGATGTAAATCTCCTATCCCTCGCATATTTAACCTCAAACAACCCTGACAAGTCCAACCCTGAAGACAGAGAGATTAGATCAAACGCATTAATGCCCCCAGCCGCACTCTTATCAAATTTACAAGATTCTTTATAATCCGACTCGAACACACTACTTTTAGTTGGTAATTCAAACTTCTTCAAAAACCAAGGATGTTTCATTAACGCTTCTATGCTCATTCTTTTATAAGGATTCGGGTCAAGAAGTTGGTTTATAATCGATTTAACCGACTTTGGTAAACAAGAAGGCAATTGATATTCTCCTTTATGAATTTTCCTGTACATAACTGCAAGATTACTGTCATCAAAAGGCAAGGAAGCCGATAATAAAAAGAACAAAATGACCCCACAAGACCAAGCATCCGCTTTAGATCCATCGTAGCCCCGCCGCGCCATTACTTCCGGTGCTGTGAAAGCCGGAGTCCCACAAGCCGTTTGAAGCAAAAAACCTCCATCAACACCTCCATTCTTTAACGCCGAGAGTCCAAAATCAGATATTTTTAAATTACCTTTACCGTCAAGGAGCAAATTGTGAGGCTTGATGTCGCGGTGAGAGACACCATTTTGATGGCAGAAGTGGATGGCAGACACAAGTTGTTGAAAGTAACGACGTGCGGCTGGTTCTTTAAGTTTGCCCATCTTCCGGATCTTAGAGAAAAGATCGCCTCCCGAGGCAAGCTCCATGACGAGGTAGATTTTGGTTTTCGTAGCCATAACTTCGTGGATCTTGAGAACGT